TAGTGCCACTTGTCTGGAAGGATAGATACACATGTATATCGGCTGAGCTTCGCAACCCTTGCTTAGGTCAAATCACATGTAAAAGCCACTGCGACTCTGGAGGGTGCGTAGCGCATCCCAAAAGGATTGATTAATGCCTAAAGTGTTCCTCTGCAAATCCTAAAATACATTTCTGATTCTGTATATAAAATAATGTTTAATTATACTTAATTTGTCAGATTTACGAGTTCGGAACTCAGCTTCCAGTTTTAACAATTTCCCATAACATTGCCTCACTATTGCCTTCACTTATCTCCGATGAATCAATTTTTCACTGTGGATTATTGTTTTGATAGATTGATTGCGACTGTTTCAGCAATGCATGTTGGGCAGAAGCTGCGCACAGCGTTACGCGGACCTCCAGGGCGTCTTGTGTTCAAAGTGGGTGGCAGTGATGGCGAGCGATTTCGGTTAGTGCTTTAGTTATGGGGATTTATGGGCTTGCTGAACTAAAATGAGATTTCTAAATCATTTCTTGAATTATTGGATATTATTCGGATAAGTAGTGGAGTTATTCGGATAAATAGCTTTTTCTTATGTGATTATGTGATTTGCATTACGGCGCTAATGGCGTTGGGGACATTCATTCAACAGGACTTTTGAAAACCTGGTGAGTGGCAATAGGACTAGTGGTAAGCCCAGGAGAGAGAAGAAACGCCACAGTGAATGGAAATTGCCCCAGAATCCCTTCCCTTCCCATGGCGTAGTCCGAAGTACTCTAGGTGGCTCACTCACTCGACTGTCCCCCTCCCCCACGACATAGCGCCTCTGTTGTTTATGAAGATGCATTTCGCAATGAGATTTGCTATGTTGCCGCCAATCCGCGCTTTTTCACTGAATGTTGTTGTTCCTTTGTGTCTGCGAGATAGCCGCTGATAAGTCTGTGATTGTTTCTGATTCAGACTCACTCGTCGTTTTGAAGGACATCGCGACGGTGTGTGGCACGTAACAGCTGACGCAACGCGTAGTATCTGTGCCAGTGCTAGTGCAGGTAGGATGAACACGTGAAAGTTATTCTATTTTGTTTAATTTATTGTGGATTTATTATAGCTATTTGTTGTTGTATGCATGAGTAAAGTGAGCGACGTTTTATAAGCTTAGTGCCTGCTTGTTCGAGAATTTACTCTGTTATTTCTATGTTTTCTCATGTGAACCTTCTGCTGACGCAATAAACCTACACTTATTCTTATCATAAGCAAAATGAGGCGGAAGGACGGAATCACATGGATTGTTTTTCACTACATTAGCCATCGGCTTTACCAACTACCCAGGGTGAAAGCTGATGTTTCGGTTATTTTCAGACCAAACGGCTCGAATATGGTCACTGAACTCTGGTGCCTGTTTGTATGCCTATACCGGTCATT